TTAGACATAGCTCAATGGATGTTATTTTTTGATATTATATTTGCTTCTGTTCAGGCCTCCAATGTTGTATAAAACTTAAAGAAATTGGGTTTTAAGACCTAAGTACAGGCTGGTCATGTCCAAACTTTTATGAGATCCAGTTGTTCATTGGATGGCTGTAGTAGCTCTTATCTAACAAGTTTGGCAAAAGCACAATAGAGGGATCCCCCAAAATGATTATGAAGATAGAATCATGTAAGTACTAATGGGAAGATAAATTAATACAAAGTTTTCTAGAAATCAGAGTGTCAAAGACACAACAACTATATGTGAAGCTTTGCTATTGGTGAATCATACAATTCATGATACATATTGCACAATTCAGTTCGATACACCAAGCAATCGATCCCTATCTTTAGGGCTTCAGTCGATAGAAACAGGAATCACATCAAAATTGTAGGAGTTGCGATACGTATTACATGATTCAGTTTGATACACCAAGCAATCGTTTCAACTTCATCAACAGGTTTCTCCTTGTAAAAGGAATATTTTGGAGGCATCTAGTGATCGAATTGAAAAGATGTGATGATGTAGTACTCTGTACAATGGGCCCTTTAAGAGAGTATTGGAGATGAAAATCGAAGAACGAAAAATCAAAGACTCGTGATGAATTTCATTTCCTCTTTAAAGAGACATGCTATAATAACCCAATTTATGAAGCTTCTATTGAATAGTGTCTTTTTTATCCAACAGAGATTTATACTTGCAAATGAATTGTTTTTTATAGTTCATCAAAGAACGTGAAACAACATCATGTTATAAAACAAAACATAATCAATAATGTAAAATAGGATCATAGGATCTGACCAATATCTTTTGTCATAGATGCAAATGTCTTTACCTATTATAGCCATATGTTCACTTTCAAAACATGATTTTCATTGATTTATATTGAAACTTTTCATATTTATAAAATCTAACGCTCTGGAATCTTCTACAATGTTCTAGAATCTTCCGGATTTTTTTAGATCTTTCTAGAGTCTTTTAGATCTTTCCGGAGTCTTCTAGATTATTCAACATATCCACTTAATAGCCTAGATGATTCTAGAAAAGTCAATGATGACTCTTAACAGACTTATCACCCAAGAAGTAGTAGGTTCAAATTTCATCAAAGCCAAACATTCCAAACTTTGGAACCACTAGAGGTTTGTTCAGTTGTTAACTTTAGAGCCTCGAAATTAGTCGAAATGCATGTAAACTAGCTCAGACACTTGGTTATCAAAAAAATATATCATTGAGGTGAATCATATTTTTCTTAAGTCTCATCAAATGGGGTCGGTTATATAAATTTTTCTTTTCCACTCGACTTTATTAACAGTCATTTAATTAGTCAAATTAGTAAACAAAATTATAAGATTTAATAACAACATTAGAATTCAAAGCGTGGTCTCTCTCTCTCACACACACAATTTTCAGCGCCAAAGAGTGATATTTTAAGTAGATCTTCAAATATTTCAACAAATTAGGAATTAAATACGTTTGGCTGCATGTGCACCAAATTTATGCATTTAATCTGCCATGTTGTGTATCTACTACATGCACGTTTACATTAGTGAATGTTCTGTTGGCGCATTTTCAGCTGGCAACAAACACATACCCAATTCACATAAAAAAAATTCTATATCCACATTTCGTTCTACGATCAAATGAGTTATGTGTACGTAGAAAAACTGTTTTATATATGCATTAGAAAAGTAGGAACATTCATTATAATCATGTGCAAAGTTCAATACTCAAATTGAAGAAGTTATTCCATGCCATTGGGACAAAGTTATTTTGTGATTGATTGAGTACTCACGATTTTGTATTGAATGATGATAGAACAACAATAAGGGACACAATAGTTTGTTATTGATGTGTGACATGTATCGCGTGGTGTCTCGTTGGGGGTAATTAATTTTCCCTCAAATTGATTGTACGGGGAGTAAATATTATTTGCTTTCGTACTCCTTTCGTCCAAGTTTCGTGTTGCTCCAAACGGTGTCGTACAATTTGAAAGCAAAACGACGCTGCGCTACCCAGCTGGTGTGTTGCCAGAAAATCCCTCCGACAGTCAAGTTAGTACCCTTAGAGAGAGAAAAAAGACTAAAGCAAGGATAACTTTGAGTGAGGAAAAATTACAGACTTTTTGCATGGAGGCGCCGTAGAGTTTATATAGCTTGTACGCGCATTAACTTGCTCATCTTTTCTTGGGCGCATAGATGTACTATCCTCTCTTTGGCTTACACGTGTGCGCGTCAATACTGCCAAACAGCGTTAACTAAACCTCCAAACGATATTGACACATTCGGACAGTAAGTTCCTCTCCTCACACTCCAATTGGGCCATGTAACACATCATCACCGAACTAACTCCTGCCCAGTCCGTCTCACATTAACCAGACCAGATTGGCTCTAGCCAAACTGCCACGCACCTAACAGTTCTGCTTGACTTGTATCTCAGTCAAGATAAGGGTCGCCCTTCTTAGCCAGAATATGCAGCTCGGTGATAAAGCTTGTTACCTTCCTGACCTCTTCCTGGCTTGGCATAGCTACCCAACCAATATGTGCAGCCCGGTCACGAGTTGAGTCGCTGACCTTGGTCACCGCTCTAGCCCGACCAAATCCTGCTCACCTTCCATGGCAAATCTAACCTAGTTTTTAGAGCTCGGCCGAAGTCATTGGCGACAACCTTTAGCCTTATCAAAGCTAGGCTGCTACCTGACCGAGCTTGTCCCTTACGCCAGGCCGACTAGACATCTCGGTCCAACATTTGCGCATCCTTTCACCTCAGTTATGAGATTCAAAACAGCCTAGGTCCAGATTTTGCTCAGCCCATTTGTTTGGCACAAATTCCCCTCTCATTGACTTTACGTGGAATTCATCTAATTAAGAATAAAATTGAAAGCTGCTATATATCACTAGAAAATTTAATCTAAATTTTCTATTTCCTACTTGACTTTTTCTCATATGATATGACAATTTCTGCTTTTTTAAAATAAATATTATTAATCATATAGGTATAGACATGACATTTATTATGACACTAATATATACACATAGCAGATGAAATAAAACTGAAAATTTTGCAAATATTTTTTAGATGAATTTGTTGAGTATTTTCTGCGTATATAATGATAATCTACAAAGATAAGGGTTTAGTCACCACCATTCACCAATCATTATAAGCTAAGGGTATGTTTGTCTAAGGTTCTCCCAACAATTAACCATAGAAAAAGGTTATTTTAAAGCCAAATTAGAATTCTTTTTTAAATTAAAACATGCATAGGTTTCTCAATCTTAGCATGAAATAAAGATTTTGGGGAATGCTTCAAGAGAAGTAGTTTCTTTCACTACAGGAAATTCGTTTTTTAGCGGCGTTTCAAAAATGCCGCGAAAATCCTGAAAAACGCCGTAATATCTTATAGTGACGTGTAAAATTTTCGCCGCTGATAGGGCCGCCGCAATAGCTACACAACGTTTGAAAAACGTCGCTAAAAACATTATACGGCGTTTCTTAAAACGCCGCAAAATATTTGACGACCGTCCGTCCTCAATAACGTGTGACGTGAGAATGACGTCATTTAGTGGCGTTTTTCGAAAAACGCCACTGTTTTTATTTTTATAATAAAATATGTGACGTCATTTTGTGGCAAACGCCACTTTTTTTTCTTTTCTTTTTTTTGTTGTTGGGTGTGGGGGGGTGGTTGGTGGGTTCCCTGCTGGTGGTGGTGGAAACTGAATTCACAATTTGGGAATCTCATGTTTTATGTTTGCTCTAGGCAACCAAACTACTAAATTTAAAATCAATCCTCAATACATGCCATATACATGCATAATATAATCTCACCAGAATCATCATTTCAAGTAAAAATTTCACATCTAGTGTCATATACATGCATAATATAATCTCACCAGAATCATCATTTCAAGTAAAAATTTCACATCTAGTGTCATATACATGCATAAACAACTATGAGTCAGTAACACATTGTTTCCATAGGACGCAATTCAAACAAATGATTCCATGCCCACATTAAGTTTTAGAAACTCAAGACAACCAAAAAAAATTTTAGTACGGTTTGTTGACTTCCAAGTCTTGTAGGTTCTTTTCATCGTAATCTAAAAGATCAACCTTGTGTCCAAACAATCCCAAAAAGCCATCACGCCTCAGCCTTTCTCGAGTACGGTTTGTTGACTTCAAGCGAACAAGCCTCCTATTCAATTTATCTGCATCACTCTAGAAGAAGAAAAAAATCAAATAATTAGAAGTCACAAAGGAAAAAGAAAGCAAGTTGATATAGTTTTAAGATGTGTACTAAACCACATCTGAAGTTTTATATCTAAAATAATTTTGTTCTAATGCTCCAATTGAACAATGTATGAAAAGGAGTGCAGACTGCAACTAATTTAATCTTCCAAAAGGCTCAAAATTTCATTCACATGAACCAAGTACACACAAAAAAATGACGATGATAATAATAAGAGCACAATAAACTATTCTAATCTTCCAGTGTGTATGCTTTTTCAGGTCTCCCTCTTCATATTCCAGACCAAGCAAGGTAACTGAACTTGAAAACAGAGCTTTCATTTACTTTCTCAACTCCATTTCCCTTTTATTCCGGCTGTACTGTTTTGCTTTCATTCTTGCCGTCTCCTTTTGATTCTTGTACTCCCTTTGCTTCTTTGCTTTCATTCTTCTTGTTTTTTTTGGCCTTTTCATCTTGTGTTTCCTTTCAATTTCTTAAGAAAAAAAAAAGAGTCCAGAAAATTGCCTTTGGATTCTTGTACTGTCTTTGCTTCTTTGCTTTCAGTCTTGCTGTCTCTTTTCGATTCTTGTACTATCTTAGCTTTCGTTCTTCTTTTTTTCTTGGCTTTTTCATCTTGTGTTTCCTTATAATTTCTTAAGAAGAAAAAAAAAAGAAAGAAAGAAAAAAAGTCAAGAAAAAAGCCCAAAAATTAAAAAGAGAAAAAAAGTGAGAAATGGCTGAAGGAGTTGGTCTTTCCTTCTTGGGGAAAGCTCTGGGGGGAATTGGAGAGTACTTGGTTGCTCCGATCGGCAGACAGTTTGGTTATCTGTTTTGCTTCAACACCAACATTCAAAATCTTGAGACTCAATTGGACAGCCTAAAAGTGACAAGAGAAGGGGTTCAACTAGGGGTGGATGAAACACGCAACAATGTCAGAACCGTTGGACCTCATCTTGAGGCATGGCTGACTAAAGCAAATGACAACACAGCAGAGGCAGAGACAATTATTAAAGACAAGGCCCAAGTTCAAAAGGGGTGTTTCAATGGGTGGTGTCCAAATCTCAAGTTGCGTTACTCACTGGGCAGGAAAGCTGTGAAGAAGACTCAGGAACTTGCTCTTCTCCATGCTGAGGTAAAAGATTAGCGCTTAGTGGCTGCAAAATCTATTAGCATTGCCAACTTGTCTAAGTCTGGACACTTACTGTTTCCACACTTGAGTGTGAGACATGGGGAGGGGCTTCTTTGTATGATTCCTTAGCTAGGCTAACGTTTTTTAATAACGTTTAACACTAAGCGCAAACGTTGCGGCATAGTGATGAAAAGATCAAGACTGACAAGGTTGTTATGACTCTAAGAATTTGACGCATCGCTTGTGAGAGCATTGTGTTGAAATTAGACTCTTTAGCCTCATTCGCGCTTAAGTTACTTCAGGAGTTGCCATAGGTTATAGCTTATTCTCTCCTTCTTATGGATAGTAGAATTAATTGCAAGTAACTATGAAGCGAGAAATAGATATGGCAAGAGGAGTATCGTCATCTTTCAACTAGATGTATTAAAGTGTATGGAGAATAAAATTGACTTGAAGGTGCAGGGGATTAGCACTTACTAGTTAAATTTGCGACTTAGGCGCAGTTGATATCTCCATGACATCCTTTTATGATCTAGTGAATATGAATTAGTCCTGAGTCATTGCCTAGTTGGGCCTAAACCTTTTAAACTTATCTTCAAGAACTCACACATTAAGATGATTGGAATTAGTTTATGACATTGGTCATGAACCGGTGGCTTATTATACTTAATCACATTAATGAGATGATGACACGATGGTTTGAGTAGGCCTTCTCGGGCCCACTCGCTTATGACATCTTGCTCTCATGTGAAAGTGTAACTTTGTTCACAATGGGTGCGCACAAGTAAGTAGGAAAGCCGAAGAAGGTCATTTGTTTTGGCGCATTTAGTCCACTATGATATTTGTGACTAGATATGTGTAAGGGTATGATAGCTAAGCCTCAATCTCGACACATTTATAGATCACGATACGCATCTGAGTCAAGGCTATTTGATCTCCCATAAGTCAAAAAGTTTTGAGATGATTTTTGACATTGCACATATGAGGTTGAGATCAATTAGATAACAGCATTCATGTTTTTAGTTTTGACCAAGGTGGCGAGTATCTATTTGAGTTATTTTTAGAAAAACTCTGTGAAGAGAGATGGATGCTTAGAAAATTGACTATTCCTAGTACTCAACAACACAATGGTGTAGTAGAGACTCTGTGAAGAGAGATGGATGCTTAGAAAATTGATTATTCCTAGTACTCAACAACACACTGGTGTAGTAGAGATAAGGAATTAAATATTGTTAATGTTAGGTAGATAATGGTGCAAAATGTTTCCCAATTGGGAATTGCACTAGTTTGTTGCCTATATCCCTAACTAAGTGCCCTCCATATCAGTTTTTACACTCCATTTTGAGTAATGGGTTAGCAGAGAGCCATCTATGGGCGATCTGTAACCGTTAAGCAGCTTATCTTTATGTTACTTCTCATAAGATTGTGAAGTTAAGACCTAGGGTTCTATAGCGCATTATTGTATGTTGTCTTGTAAACATAAAGGGTCGTGTGGCGCATTATTGTATGCGGTCATGCAAACCCTCCGGGTCATGTCCATATAGGTAAGCAGCTTTGTGGTAATGTAACTAAGTCACATAAAGTTTTATTAGTAAAGGTGACGTGAATAGAGTTTTCAGAACTCTATAAGATGGAGAATTCCAAGCATAGCGCTCTATGTAGCCTAGTTGAGAATGGAAAGAAATTTCCAATATCCTAGGGACAGTGGGAGCGATGTGCCTACTAATGGATTACTCCATTAGAGAAGAATACTCTACATTCTTAGTTGCGTGGTAGCAAATGTGAAAATTTTCCACGTCATCACTGGGTGATTGAGAGGGAAACATTCATGATTGCTCCGCAAGATGATAAAGAGCCTGGGATAATGCCCAAGGCTCTAGTCCCCTATTTTTAGAAAGTGGATCAATGTTGCGCAGTTTAAGACAAAGTCTTTGAGGATTAACCTTTTTTTATAATTTGGTTGACTTTCCATTGTGACGCAAAACTGTTATAAAGTTATGCGTAATTTGGATAGTCCTTGTTGAGGCATAAGGCTCACTAGATACCGAAAAGTCGCACCATTGAGGAAAGTGTAGACCATGAGAAGACTTCCTTCTGGGGAGTGAGGTTATTTTGACTTAGGCTATAATTGACATAAGTTCGGAACATTGGTTTGTGGACATTGTGACCTGATTTCTCATTAGAGAATTGGATAAGTAGATCCGTAGGGATTTACCTTATGTTTTTATGGTGAAAAGTTAGGAGCGCAAAAAGGTTGCTAGTTCCAATAAATCTTTTACAGCCTAAAGCAGTTATCCAAACAGTGGTTCTTAGATTTCGTCAAGCCATGATAGGCCAACGACGATCGATGAAGACCACTGAGGCATGATCAATGGTCCAAAAGAAATTTTTTCCTTACTTAATCATTATGAGCCAGGAATTTATAAGGTAGTCGCCATCTAGGGTGGGCAGTCCTCTATTTTAGATATGATGGACATGGGCGAAGAACCAAAAACCTGGACAGCAACATTTGGTTTCTAAACCCAACTAACCTGAAACAAACCTGCCCAACACATCCTATAATTCCAAAAGAGAAAATAAGGAATA